TTTGTTTTCTTTGCGGTACGGACTGACTAATTTAAAAAAATAGCAGAGTTTCCGCAGTGCCGGTTTTCCAGTTTTGTTGCTCACCTGAGAGAAAAATGGCGTCTCTTAGATGCGGCTCGAATGTAGGCTTCGCGACGCCTGGCTTTGGTTTCCAGCTTCAAGGTCTTTGTCATCGGATGCTCACCTGGGGTGATTATGGCGTCCGTTGGAGTCACCGCAAAAGACTGAATCGCGACGCTCGGCGTCGGAATTTTACCTTCGTGTTTAAATACATCTCGGGGCTTATCTGTGCTAACTATGGCGCCATTTGATGGCGTCGGTACGCTCAACTTTCATTTTTCAGTGTAGTTTCCAGTGGCAACTAAATGTTCGCCAGATGTGAGGCGTGTTTAGGAAGCGTTGGGAAGGTTTGGCACCGGTTTTCCGTCTACGTGCCAAAAGCATCCCGAGGTGCAGCTGTACAAATTATGGCGTCTTTTTTTGTCGTCAAAAGGATTGGTTTTGTGACTGTTGTTGGTGTCACACGTAGTGCGTAATGACGTTCCGAATGGCTTATGCTAAACATGGCTTTGGTTTCCAGTGCCATTCCGAGGTTCATTTGTGCTGGTTATGGTTTCCTGTGGCGTAATTTCGACTCTCGTTATCGTACGTTGGCGTTCCTTTAGCCGACGTCTGGACTCTGTGCGTCGCGAAACCGGTCTTTAGATTTAATATCGTGTACACTGGCATTTCGATACTCATATACGATTATTACGGCATTACTTTGGTGACATGAAGACGACTGGCGTCCCGGCGCTACATCGTATATCTCAAGGACCGTCTACGCCAAATTTGGTGCCGTTTTGCGGTCTCGGTTTGCCAGTTTTGTGCTTTACATCGTTCCGAAGATTTCATGTCCTGATCTTGAATTCTGAATCGTCGTACATTTGGCGTCGGTTGTCCGGCTATTTTGCGCCAGATATTGTCCGGTGTCGGCGTTGGGACGATTGGCGTCGTGACGTTCCTCGTCTGGTTGTCAGAATCGTGCCGTATCTCTTCCCAAGGCCTTTCGTGGTTTTGGTTTTGGTGTTATGAATCAGCGTCCTGAC